ATGCTTTATATATTACAAAATAAAATTCTTCCAACAAACTTGGACTTTTAATCTCTTTAAATTTAATTCATTTCATTTCTATATAGCAAACAATGATTGCTTCATTTATTTGACCTTTTGGTTTTTCAGTCATTAAATATTTATTCAGCTCCTATTATGTGGTAGGCACTATGCATGGTGAATTTACTTATACTCTTCATGTGCTACACATACACATACATGCACATGCAGCTATGAAAGTAAGCACTAGGTACTGTATATAATAATTATCAAGGTTGCACAGTCTTTTCACTTTAGAAACTATAAGTTTAGCACTGTGTTTTTGTATAGCTGCAGAAGATCTGGGCTATAAACAGGAATGGCTTCCTGATGAAGGATGAAAATTAGATTTAAAAACAGAGAATGACAGGTGTGACAACAGGGAAATTTTTCCATAAATATTTTGGTTCTTTTCTTCATAATTTCTCTCTTCATTAAGAACAACACACCTATGGTGACTACTGTGCAGCGCTCTTTCTTCCAATACTCTGTGCTGTGCTCGCTTTTTGGTTCGTCAGATGAAATTAGCACAATTTAGCAGAGGGTAAGGCACATTATTTTTGTCTAGAAGAGTGGTACCACTGAACTGCCCCTTGGTTTTAAGACAACTGGGGGTCTTGCTGTTAACCTTATTTGCATCGTGTTATTTTTACTGTATCCATCTTGCTCCTCTCTTGTGAGAAACAGCTGTGGATATTCATGAGATTTTCCTGGCTGTCTACATAAGGCTAAACAGCATTTTTAAACTGTGGCATCTGGGTCATTGCTGGCTCACTATCTGGCATCCCAGACTTTCTGGGACATCTGACATGGTGATTTTAAGAATTCTTTTTCCACTCTGTCCAGCCACTTTAAACTTTGCACCTTTAGTTCATCTTAAACATACATGACTGAAACCAGAAAGACCATATTCTGAAGAATGATGTGTTTCTAGAATGCCAGGAAAAATATATTAGCCAGCATTAGGTATTAACATGTCAAAGACAGCCACATCATTTGTTGTAACTAATTTGGGACACGCAAATATACATATACTTTTCTAGGAGAAAGCCTTTGTAGCATAAATTGTACTATTAAGGCATACATGGAAAAATGGAGATAGGATCAAGGTTATGTGAATTTAGGCATGATTGGAAGGCAAATAACCATGGTCAAGACAACCAATGGGATGAGAATCAAGAAGGTCCAGTCTGATGGGTGACATAATCACATAGCCAATGCAGATGGTTAGTTCATGATAGATGCTGAGAAAACTGTTGTTGAAGGGATCAATATTTAGTTGAATTTAGGGAGGTTTGTGGCACAAGAAAGCAAAGTCAAAGCAAATAAGGTTCTAGTCCAACATGGAGTTTGAGGCAGCAACACTATTCACCAAGAACAATGAATTTTATTTTGCTCATAGGAATGGGGATTGTTGGCCTTTGGCCTAGTTTATTCTTTCAGCTGTGCATCATAGGCAGCTGAGTCCTGGGTGAGTAATTATAGTTCAAGAAAGTCAAGGGACTGCAGGTGCATCCTGTGCCTGTTGGAACAAGGGCAAAAGTGCTAGAATTTCCGGGATATTCATACATTAGCCGTGCTTTTGAGCATTCAAACTTTCAAGTGGAGTTTTATGCACAACAGTGGAATGTGCCCAATTTATAAGCCAAGTGATCTCCTCAAGGGAAATCCTTCATGTGCATCTGCTTCTAGGCAATCAGATAACCTAGCCAAGGTTTATAGAAGTCTTTTGCATACAGAATACATGCTAAAAATTAGTAAACCTTCCTCCTGGTCTCAGGCACCATCTTAATAGAAATAATCAGAGTACTTTTCATGTAGGAATAGTAAGGGTTGGAACTTTACTGGAATTAAAACAATATAAATCCTATCTCAGTTATCCCAAGACAGTCAGTGGTCCCACCTACTACTATTGTAAAGTATCCATATCTTGTTGCCTGACTATAATTTATACCTCATTCAGCAGGTTGTACCAGCTTATTAAAGATGTAGGTAAATGGTTGCTTCATTCTACAAATTACCTTTTGGTCAGGTTTCAGCTATAGTCTAATCAAATATGTTTTAATGGAAAATATTGATATGATTTAGAAACAAATCTTTAAATGCTTACCAGTCTTTCAAAATTATTATTTGCAAGTAACTGTGCTTGAATAAACATTAATAGTTATATGTTAGCCAATGCTCACTAAATTTTAAAATGATTTTTGTATAAGTAACTGAATTTTGAAATATCACTATAACTTTTCCAATGTGACCATCCTTAAACCTATGATGATGAGCACTTTGAGTAGCTATGTTCATTAACATTTTGGAGGAAAATACTGCATGCATATATACTTGCACAGTTTTGCATTAGAGAGACTGGCTTTGGGACATTAAGGCAAAGGAGGAAAAATACACTCAAAAAGCACAGTTTATTCCCTGACTAAATGTGTGAATGGAACACTTAATTTGGCAATTGAAGAATACATATTTTTGAAACTAAGGCTTCTTTTGGAGTTTATGTCAAGTTAGTTGGCCATGTACTGAAGAAGGACTGGTAATGTGCCTGTATAACCTTAGCTGCTGTCTCTAATATTTAGTAATACACTGTTTTTTCATGTGAAGATGGCAACATTAACCAACTGGAAGTATGACACATGCTGTGAGTAGTGTTTCCAGGAGTGACAGTGCATTATTTCCATCTTCTTCCATACAGTAGGGCCTGGCCTCTGTTGGATGTCTTACACATATTTGTGCAGACAAGATATAAATTGTGTCCAAGTAATAGAGTCAAGCCTATTGTTACAAAAAGGGTTAATTTTTTTTACTTTGGTCTATTTATTCCTACATACAAACACACTGAGCTAATCATGTGCATACATCATTCAACATCACAAATGTGTGTAGTCACCAAAAGTAACAATAATTCTTTATTATATTTTGTCTTGACTACAAATAGCCAAGTACATGCGTTTGAGTTCATATCATATAATTAAGTTATTTTTAAATGAACTAGATTTTCTATAACATGGCATGAGACTTATTTTTTTAAATATTAAAGATAGTCACCAATTATAGTGTTTATTTCAGCCACTTCGTAGTTATAAACTTCTAAGAGAGGGTATAAAAGAGGGTGAACTTTATCAAGGCATTGTAATGATCTATGGAAATGTCACAGTGAAACCCATCAACTTGTACAATTAATGTAGTTTAATAATAAAAAAATGAAAAAAGTATACTTGACAATTTATACCTTAATAAATCTTTTATTCTGAAGCTAAAAAAGATAGTAAACCTACTAATATTAATTTTGTTCTTTAAGACAACAAGGAGTATGATGCTTACCTGTCTTATACCAAAGTGGATCAGGATACTTTAGACTGTGACAATCCTGAAGAAGAGCAGTTTGCACTTGAAATACTTCCAGATGTCCTGGAAAAACACTATGGATACAAACTATTCATCCCAGAAAGGGATCTGATCCCAAGTGGAAGTAAGTACTTTCAAATTTTATATTTAAAGTATTCAGTTTATTTTAGGAAGTTATATGGAGCTTCAAAAATCAGAGCTACATATTTAGACAGGTTATTCTTACAAGAGATTTGTTTCAATTCAAATTTCTCCACATTGCCTGTATTCTGTCTTTAGAACATATGTACTTTTTAAAAGGCATTCACACATACATTTTAGGTATATGTTTTAAATTGTGTTTTGAATAGTGTTTTTAAAAAAATTATATTGCCTTAGTGTATTGAGAAAATTATGTTCCTTAAAGAGTCTATAAAAGTCAAATAAATCTGTTTAAATGTGCTTTAGTTCCAGAGCTGGCTTCTGTCATTGTTGTTCTACTTATACTTTCAATCACTGTCACTAATAAATGTGAATCTTTCTCTTTCAATTTTTAAAATCATTATGACTTGTTACTTATTCTCAGATCTCTGGAAAAGAGCCACTTAAAAAGGTATATGAGGCCATCGGCTATAACACTCTCACTGTGTATTTAAATTATTTGTAAGAAGTGCTGGACACTATGAGCTTGAATACTAGTCTTAATTAGTCCTATACATATTGAAAAGTACAATTGAACTTTCAGAATAAATTTAGTTTCAAGGCAAAATATAAACTTTGTTCTTATTAATGTTCTCAATGCATACATTGTAAAGTGTAAGGCAAATACAGAGAAACTGAAGATATGGTCCCTGCCCTCAAAGAGCTTTTAAAAATGTCATTGAGGGCCAATAAATCTACTGTAACTTATTCGAGTATCTGTGGTCAGTTAATATCATTGAGAGCAGAAGATAGAACTGGTCTTTACAACCTAGAATATGTTAAATACATGATAACAAAAAGAAAAGGCTGTATTTTCAGTGCTTGACAGTATGTAAAATGATTTCACATACATAATTTTTATTTTTTATTTACAATAACCTGGTATAGAGAGAGTAAATACTGCTATATTTATCTTACCAATGAGGAAACAAAAGCTTGATGAAGTCAAGATCATATACAGTGCAAATGGTAGAGCTGAAACTAAAACCTATGTCTGAGCTCTATGTCTCATTCTTCTAGATCGCTGTGTTAATCAATAATGCATATTCAGATTATCAGCAGTCCATTATGGTCACTAAGGTGACATGAGACAAACAGAAACAACTGAGTTTTGCTTCTTTATCTCTTTTCTTAGGGTGTGCATATATCTATATATGTTTGTATGTATACTTTACTAGGATGCACACTTACACTTACATAACAAGGCCCAGTGAAAGCAATATTTACTGGTCTATTTTTCCTGCACCATAAAATTGCAAATGTAAATGTTTCCCAAGCTTATGCCCCTCCACTCTTTTGTTTTTGTAATTTCTCACAATTTAATAACTTAAAAATCCATTATATATTGATTTATTGCCAAAGGAACATCCTGATACCTCTAGGCATTTTTTATTCTTCTGTGTCTTTCTCCCAAATTGAGTAACCCTTGCATTTTTTTCCATTCTTACTTTTACCATCCTAGTGTATGACCCAATTACCTTATTTGTGCAATACTGATTATTTTGTTAGTTTCCATATCTTTCCATCTAGCCCTATTAATATCACATATACCTCCTTGTCATACTCCTATTGACGAAATAATTGTCCACTAATTCTTGCAGCACAAAAACCTGAACGCTTAGCTTAACACTTCAACAATCTGCTGCCAGGCCTGATATATCTCCTAAATTTGTCTCCTATCCTTTCCTCTACTCAAAGCTTCCACTCTAACCAAATGGTGCCTTTGATATACATTGTGTGACCCTGCAATGCTTTTGTTCATGTTAGCTTGGTGTCTTTGCAAATCTTATGTATCATTCTTCATATCACTGTTTCACTGTTTCTGTGAAATCTATAAAAACCTTTTCAGTCCTAGAGTCTATGGTATATAGCCACTTGTTTGACTAAATTTTGTACTCCTGTTATATTTTGTGCTGTTTTATAATTTTATGTAGATTTCCATCTATTTCTGTCTGTTCTAATCAGCAAAAGATTATAAGCTCCATGGGGATAGGTACTGTACCTTGTTTATCTTCTTACCATATCATCTTCTAACAGAAGACCTGAGCTCACTGGGCTTTAGATGCTTGTTGATATTTTTAAACAGTGTGAGTTTAAGATAAAGTGATGCAAAAAAATGAAAAGTGCTTAAATATTTACATGAGAGTATTTGAAAGACATTTTAACAAGGTATGGGAGCTTTTTGCTGAAAGAAACATTTTGTTGGTAATTCATAAGAAAGATTTTAAACCTTAGAATCAGCATATAGTGGTACCTCAGTTTACAAACTTAATTTGCTTCACAATTTTGGGGATGATAGCTGCGTTTGTGTTTGCATGAGGGAAATGGCCGTGGTCATGTTTGTCACCCAATGTGGAGTTTGTGAATAGAAGCAAAATTTTACCAAATGCTTTTGTTTGCAAACTGAATTGTTTGCAAACAAAAGTATTTGTGAACTAAGGTGTAT